TTCCATTAGATTTCAAGACCTGAGAATAATTCCTTGTGGCTCAATGCTCTGTCCTCTGGGTCTGACAGGCCAGCAGCCTCACCTTATAGGCCTGAGGGGGTCTCATCAGCCCAAACTTCTGCATCTGTGCCTCTGCTCTCAGACTCACTCCCTTTTTTGTTTCATGCCCCTATTAAGCCAAGCTGGTAGTGATTCTACTGGTATAACATTATCAATTTTATACCAGTAGAATGCAATTCACAGAGGTCCAAGCCATCAGACCAGAGGGTCCTCCACGGAGCTTTCCAGGATAACCCCATCTCCATTCCTGGCTTCTACCAAGATGGTTGATTGGATCCATCAGCCAAACACCTGAGCTCTTTAGCCAGTGATGGTCCAGCCACACTGTTGGCGCTGTTTATAAAGTATGCTCTCTAGACTGGCTGGGAATCTTACAAGTCACTGGGTGCTGATTCCTTTTTGCTTCGGAGTTCTTCCCCCGATTTCTTTCCTTTCTCTCACATTTTATTATAAGTAGAAAGAAGAAGCCAGGCTGTACCTTCAACACTGCTTGGAACTCTCCAAGCAAAGTTATCTCCAAGCAAAATTCATTGCTTACAAGTTCTACTCTCTTTCCAACAACGAAACATGATTAAACTGTGTTCTTTGCCATTTTACAACCTTTCTTTAGAACCAAATCAACTTTCTTCCAGTGTCCAATAACATGTTTCTCCTTCCCATCTAGGACATCACCAGAAGCATCTTTATCGTTCATATTTCTAGCAACATTCTGTTCCTGGTGAGATATGTCTTCTCTAAAACAATAGACGCTTTCTCTGTAGCACTCCTCCTCTCTTCTTTCTGAGCCCTCAACAGAAGTGCATATAATGGCAATATTTCTACCAACAATCTCTTCAAGGCATTCTAAATTTTTTTCTATCTAGTACCTCACAATTCTTCTAGCCTCTCCCCATTTTCCAGTCCAAAATCACTTTCACGTTTCTATGTTTGTTACAGCACCACATCACTTCCCAGTACCAAAACTGGTCTCAACAATTCATTAATCCTTGTGATTTCCTGGGTGCAAGGGAACCATGCCATTGAAATGAATCCCTAATCTTACCTGATAGCGTCCAAATAGCAAGATGAGTGATATGAACACTGAAAGTCAACTAGAAAGAAATCTGTCTAATCACCATTAAAAATGATGATTTTGGTCAGTGTATATTAACCAACGCAGCTGGTTAGAAAGGGCAGAGCAAGGTTCAGATGGAAAATGTTGACATGGAAAGCTGACTTAAGTCATCTAGATTAAAAAAAAAAGAACACACACATTTTAATACTGAGTCATGGTGAGCTGGAATATAGAGATCATTTTCTCCTAATTCTTTAAAAAGTATTTCCAGTAAATGTTCACTAATTTAGACAAGAATCTAAATGAATTTAGTAAAACATTTAAATGGAGAAGTATAGGTGTGGACAGCATGTGTTTCGAGCAAACCCTAACTAAATTGATTATGTTCCCTTTATGGCAAACTGTAAAGGTCTGATTAAAAGACGTTGATCTCATATGTAACTTAGTATTTATAAAGGGCTTTCAGACAATTTAATTCCTTAAAGAAATAGTTTTCCTCGCAATCTTAAATTGTAAACTTACTCTTTTGGTGTCTTCTTATTCTCTTAAATTAATTTTGAAATTATTCCTACATTGTGTACTGATGATCAATAATTCAACTTACGTGGGTCTAACATTATGAGCTGTTACTTTATCAGGGATTCATTGGTGGTGTGATTTCCTGGGTCACTGGGACTAGACCAGACTCTCAAAGAAAGGCCAGGGAAAGACACTGGTATTTACTGTATTAGGCAGTGCCCTGAGTCATCTCCTGTTGACCTCATGTACTCTTCACAAATAATAAAGTAGATCACTGTTACCTTCTTTTAATCAGTGGGGCTCAGAGAGGCAAAGGAATTTGACTAAGTTCAGCCAGCTATGTTAAGTACAGCAGAAAACACATCTATCAGAAGGTCCACATCACAGTAATAGCTGGGATATTTATTAAATGCCCACCCACTCATGGCAGTGCACCTGCTCCTCAAACAGCAAGGGCTCCGAAGCTGCGGAACTCCCCTCCTGAAACACCTAGGATGGACCTGTGTCCTGAAATGGAAGCCCACTCTGTTCAGTGCACCCAATGTCCTCCTCCAGAAGACTAGAAATTTACATTTTGACATAACTAAGCAAATCAGGGCCTTTGTTTGGTAACTTTTTAACTAATTTCCAACAACCTTTGAAGCAACAGGTTAAAAATCAACTAAGAAATACCACCTGCTTGAACTATTAAAATCACACCACTAGAGTAACCTGAGATTGTAAATTCAGTATTTGCCTCTTTTTTAAAGCTGTAACCCCACCATTAGTTTTAAAAAGAGGAAAATGCCTTGGAATTAGAAAAGGAGGTCTAAGGAAGGAATGTTTGCAACTATCATGTTGGTTTCTTCACTCCCGTCAGTCTCAGCGGAGACCACATATCAGGGAATAGCACATGACTCGTGGTTTCAACGTTCTTCGCATTAGTTTTCCACAGGCCATAAGGAAAGCCCTTCAATTCAAAGGGGCTATGCAGGCAGAGCACCACAGAGAAATGAAAACGCAGGGTCCTTTTGCAGTGAGGATACCAGCAGGGGGCCAACTTGGAGCCCGTCCTGAGAGGAGCCTTCCCGATTTCACATTCGAGAGGATTTGTTCTGGTTGTTTCTCCCCATGATCACTTGTCACGTGAATCTTCCCATGGTGGTGGTAACGGATTCCGTATTCTAGTCAGACCAACAAATCCACCCATCTTGAGTTCAACACCCTTCGACAAACCGGCTGCCAACATCTGAGGTGGAAAGGGAAGTTACCCACCTGCCCAGATGAGGACAACTGGGACCTCAGCCCCTTAAGAAACTGTGTCCAGGGGTCACACAGCTCAAAAGGTGTAGTCCAGATTTGAATTTCTCAACTGCGAAAGCCGTGTTCTTCTCACCAGGAAATCCTCGTTTCATTGATCCAAAGCTATTTTCATGATGACCTCCAGGGGCATCTGAGGGCTCAGTTGGTTAAATGACTGACACTTGGTTTCAGCTCAGGTCATGGTCTCAGGGTCCTGGAATTGAGCCCCACATTGGGCTCCATGCTCAGCGGGGTGGTGGTGGGGGTTCTGCCTGGGATTCTCTCCCTGCCCCTCTCAAATAAATAAATAAATTTTGGGGGGGAAAAAAGAGTAACCTCTATGTTCTTTTTTTTTTTTAAGATTTTATTTATTTATTTGACAGAGGGAGAGATGATAAGTAAGCAGAGAGGCAAGCAGAGAGAGAGAGGGAAGCAGGCTCCCCACTGAGCAGAGAGCCAGATGCGGGGCTCAATCCCAGGACCCTGAGATCATGACCTGAGCTGAAGGCAGAGGCTTAACCCAGTGAGCCACCCAGGCACCCCAAACTTCCATATTCTTGAGAAGCAAACAGTGGCTTGTATTTCCTACTCCAGAGAACAACTTTAAGTAATTAGAAAACTTGGGAAATATCTCCTTATTATTATTTGAATTGTTCTGGTCAGTTAGAAACCATGTTTGGCCCAATGGCTGTACTTTGAACAAACATTTCCAGGAGACTTTTGATGTGTGAGATTGTGTGTTAGACTCAGTGACAAAAATGAATCCCTGCATCCTGCCCCCCTCACTGCCAGGCTAACAAACAGATGTGCACGTCAAAGGCACCTCAGTGTCTTCCAAAGACATGCCTTCCACAGAACGCATAGTGTGTGCTTACTGACTGGCATTGTTCTAGCTTGTAGTAATGTGTGTAATCTTCACAACACGAGGTAGATATCATCATCCCCACTTTACAGATGAGAAATCTGAGGTACTGAAGAGGTCGGTAACTTGCCATAGTTTACAAGCTTGTAATTAGCAGGAAGAATTTGGACCTTACTGACTCCAGAGCCCTGCCCTTGACCGTCAGGGCACCCTGCTTTGTCAGGGCTGTGACTGAGAGGAAGCATAGATGAAGGAGGGAGAGAAGCTGGAGAGGGTCTGGAAGCTTCAGGGAGGAAACGGTCAATTACTGAGTGAGTGATGTTCTCTCAGAGCAGTCAACTGCCTCCCTAAGGGCTACACGTATCTTCCCTCAGCAGACTTTCAGGCTTAACCTCCTGAACTTAAGTTCTCACGTTTCAGTACTAACAATGTAAGCGGAACAGGAACAGAGCAAGTGCTAAGTATTACCTCACAGAAATACTTTTAAGTCCTGTTGAATTTCATGCATGATGCCATGTTGTCTAGATGTCATGGAGTTCTTCTGAAGAGATATTAAAAACAAATCAAGTCACCTGGGTGGATGACAATGCAAATCTGTGGAGGTTTCTTACGCTAAACCAAGGTTCACCTTGAGTTTGATTCTTAGAAAAAGCAAGGGGTCTATCTGCTTTATAAATCTTCACTCCCCAAAGGCTATTTTATTCACCATTTCAAAGCACTCATTAAAATGAATTTCCAGTTCATCAGCTGCTGCAGGGTAATAGGCTCATGACAGGGGGGCATGAAGCAGATGTTTGCTTAGCAACTATGTTTGTCAAAATTCCACCAATCTTATCTTATGCCCAAGATTTCTGCCTGAGGAGAAATTCCCTGACTCCTTTCTACTGAAAAAGATTACAGGAGAAACCCACTGGCTTGCGGTACTGGGGAGTAAATTTTCCTCAGTGACCCTGCCACTCCAGCTGAGATGAAACTTAACCCCTTTACTGCAGTGTTTTCAGGTAACCATTAGTTTTCTCTTTAAACCAAAAAATCCAAAGACAAGACTCAAGTCCCTGTATTTTGACCTGTGATATGTGTATTTACTGTCACACGATTTTCTTTTTGTCATTTTTAAGACCATAGGACAAATGGAGCATGGGGAAAAGAACACAGGTTTTATGAAAAGAAACCATCAATCTTCGGACTTCCTTTTTTCTTTTTTCTCCAATAGTTCAACCATCCATGAATTGTTGCCGGACATCACCAAGCAATTCCTGGGTTTTCCCCACAGTAAACCTCTGCTGCTTTGGATTTTTCTCAATGATGAAACCATCAGAACCATTTGTCGTACCTTATTTAGCAGGACCAGATAAAAATATAAGCCTCAGTGTGGTAAGTTTACTAACATGCTTATCTTAGATTTATGTCTTGTTAGAACCAATGTCTAAAGCCTTGGGTGGGAGCAAAGTATCAACACTTCTTACAATCTCAAAGAGGAACAAATGGGCCTTCATGATTTCTGTGTATTTGTCATTTAAAATATAAAACTCTTTGCTACCTCACAAATGGGGTGAGTTCAAAACAACCTTTGAGCTGCAGAAAAACAATACTCCTGGATGTCATTGCTTATTATTATGAGTCTAAAATAAAACAGCCATACCTAGATATAAGCACAAACCTTAGAGGATAGTATAAGATTTACAGGGGGAAAATTGGGAAAAAGCATATGAAAAAATCCTCTGAAGATTTTTTTTTCCTCTTTATGTGTAAATATGAAGGCTTTGTTGGCTTTTAGTCAGGTCATAGGATCTAATCCTAAGGAGCCTATGAGTCAGTGTTTCTCAAAGCATGGTCCATCGACCCACGCAAGAGCATCACCTGGGTAACTTGTTAGAAATGTTCATTTTCAGGCCCCACCCCGGATCTACTGAGTCTAAATGTCTGGTTTTTAATAGACCTTCCAGGTAAATCGGCTACACGCTAAAATTTAAGAACCTTCCCTTTAATCACTGAACAATAACAAGATCAGACAAAGCACTGTATCGATTCAATTTCCTTAGGGAAAAAATGTCGCACCCATTTTTACGGGTTGGTTATTCAGCAGATGGGTCATTACAATTATATCTCCCTTGGCCTCCCTTTCCTGAAAAACATCCTCATGTCCCTACTGGACACCAAGGAAAGTCTTCCCTCTAAACCCATCCACCATTTTCCTTCCCAGTTAAAAAGGTACATGCCAATCATGAATGCCAGTAGGTGCAGATAGGTTTGTCTGGGAGATACCGCTGGACTGGATTTAGAGTCCAGAGACGGTCCTTAAAAACAGATCTGGAACATAGCTTTTCCCAGGTTAGTGACTACCTAATGTCGGGAAGAGCCAGAATGAAGTTCTACCAAACTATAAGAACACTTAGGTAGAAGGTGACCTGAGAACTCAAGGAGTCAGGGCATAGTTCATGTCAAAACACACTCTCGGGCTCAGTAAGTTGGCAGGTTTACATCAGTGATCTGGGACCCTGGGATCTGAGAAGGATTTAAGGGGTTCTACCCCAGCCTTCTTTACATCATCTCCCACCCACTATAGATTCAGCTTATAGAAGCTAAAATAATTATGTTCTATTGATGGGCTCAGATGATTTGCTGATACCACCGACTCCTTCCTGGAAAACTGTGGCCAAAGCTGACTTAAACAAGAAAGATAATAACTGGTTTCTCGTGGCTCCTCCAAAGCAGCTCAAAAGAGTAAGGCCAAGAATGCGGAAGAACAGAAGACAGACTAGCATTCCTTCTGATATTCGGTCTTGAACTGGTCATTTGTCCTATGTGTTCCTGATGACCCAGATGATCTCTTGATGGTCTGCACATACTGATGTGGATCACAGGCAAATATGGCTAGGTTCTGCCAGTACCGAAACATTCTTTTTAACCTTATTGAAGAAGAGTCAACTATTTTAAAAGGAGAGGCAACAGCACGTGAGCAGTCCGACACTGCCCTAGGGAAAGCTGGTAAGCCTAACATATGCATTATGGCCTCTTTCCCAGCCTCAGTGGCTTATGCAGATGATACTCCATTTTAAAATGTAAGAAGCAGGTAACTAAGAACAATAACTGCTCTTTCTCTATACTGGAGGGGGGAACCCACATGTTAGGAATGTCCATGATTTGGGCCATTTGTTTTCCTTGAATTTCCATTTCCCATGACTTTCCACTGTATTGTCAGAAACTCATGTGAAGTATCAAATTGACGTGGGCCAAGCAATGTGTCTTAGCGTCCTTTGGATAATATGTCAGAGATCTATGGTGTGTTTCACTTCCAGTGCTTTGGTCCTTATGCCCCTCCCCTGTTTAACCTTACAGATCACAAATGAGATCTTCCCAATCTGGACATACTCTTACCTGGTGCTGCTGCTCCCTGTGTTCGTCCTGACCGATTATGTCCGCTACAAACCAGTCATCATCCTGCAAGGAGTCAGCTTCATCATCACCTGGCTGTTTCTTGTATTTGGCCAAGGATTAAGAGCCATGCAGGTGCTAGAGTTCTTCTATGGGATGGTCTCCGCCACCGAGGTGGCGTACTATGCCTACATTTACAGCGTTGTCAGCCCCGAGCACTACCAGAAAGTGAGCGGCTACTGCAGAAGCATCACGCTGGTGGCCTACACAGCGGCCTCAGTGCTGGCCCAGCTCCTGGTGTCCCTGGCCAGACTCTCGTACTTTTACCTCAACGTCATATCCTTGGCCTCCGTCTCTGTGGCCTTTCTTTTCTCACTTCTCCTACCAATGCCTAAAAAGAGCATGTTTTTTCATGCAAAACCCAGCACAGGAGCTTCTCCAAAACCAAGAGGAAGAGATGCTTTCTTAGAGGAACCTCAAAAGGGTCACAAACCAGTCTACCAAGAAATATTCACCTTTTCAAGGAATCTGGATGATGGTTCGTTAAGCACTCCAAAGCCGGAAAACGTAACTTTGACGGTTTTTGTGCAGTGGTTCCAAGATCTGAAGGAGTGCTACTCCTCAGAGCAACTTTTTTACTGGTCCCTGTGGTGGGCCTTCTCCACAGCAGGTTTTAACCAGGTTTTGAACTATGTTCAAATCCTGTGGGATTACAAGGCACCGTCCCAGAGTTCTACAATCTATAATGGAGCAGTAGAAGCCCTTGCAACCTTTGGAGGTCAGCATACCAGACTTTATCTTTTCAGAGCAGTTATTGTTCTTAGTGCAAGAAATATAGTCTTCCAAATCATAGTCTTAGATTCATTGTACTGACTTCAATACTAAAAACCAAATACTCTGAAAAAAAAAAAGAGAGCTTTAACACAAAATTTAAAAGAGGCAATAAATATAAGGGAAGATTGATGAAGTTATCCATGGAAAATAAAGTTTTGCCTACCCCCTAGAAACAGGGACTGCAAATTTCTGTCCCACTGGCCAAACCTGGTTTGGCCGTAAAGAGTTGAATGGTTTAAGGTTAAGCTACCAAATCACTTTCCTCTCTAATTGTTCTCTAATTCTAATTGATAAATTGTGGTTTGCAAACTATTAATAGAGGTGGGCAAACAATGGCCCAAGACCCATGAAAGCTAATAATTTTTACATTTTTCATGGGTTGTAAGGGAAAAAATAATATATGCCAAGGTTTGTAAAAATAATAAATCAACCAAATAAAAACAAAGAAGGCTATGTAGTCTGCAAGCCTAAAATATTTACTCTTTGGCCCTTTATAGAATACAGATTTTGAAATCAATGTAGTGGATTTCTGACCAGCATTTTTAAATCAAAGAACAGAATAGAAAATTTAGAATAGAATAGAATACAGAGCACAGCAGCTTATAGGGATAAGGTCTGTTTTGTGAAAACTGTTTACATACAAATATGTATGTACTGGTGGACATGTAAAACATATTTCTTTTTTTCAGGCTATGGTTAAAGAAGTTTGAAAGCTACTGTTCTATGAGCTACTTTATCATTCAAAGGTTCCTTTTGAGACAACTTAAATAATTTATTTATATCTTTCCTTAACTCTACATGCAGAGATTTGCCAAAACTTGTTGCCTTCTGATTAAGATTATTTTCCCTACTCAGCTTTCCCCATTCCCTATTATATCCAGATTTTTTCTGAAATAATAGTGAATCAAAACAGGATTCTTATAATCTTACATCCCATTTCTTCTCCACAGCTAGCTTATTGTATTACCTTGTATAGTGTTCTCTCTGGTCTTTTCTACACTATATACTTCCATTCATTTGACATTAGTAAGAAGCAATAAGAATTGTGTCTCTCCACAGTAGCTCTTAACAAATAGCAATCTTTGAGTGTGGAGAAAATGGCAGCGGGAGACAAAGAGTGCTAGGAAAGGAGGAAGGCAGGGTGTGACATGTTGGGAGAGGCAGGACCTCCAAGAGGCTATGTGTGTTCCTGAGTATTTATTCCTTCTCCTGGAGCTGACTGGTTAAGTGTTTGCTTCAGCCTTATTTACCTATTGATGGATTTCTGATACTGCATTTTGTGCAGCAGGAAAGAGGCAGCGAGACTGAGTGACCCTGAGAAGATCTCTGGGAGAATGAGGGTTTCCAGTTTCTGCTACAGGATTCCCCCTCAACCCCATCCTGGACTTTCGACTTTCGAAAACTTCCCTCCTGGCTGAGAAGCTACCGTGGTTTGGGGATTCTCAGATTCTTGTCCACAGACTCTTCCTTTTTCCCAGAACATATTTTGTGAAGTTTAAAATCCTTTTCCAAAGAAAATGAGGTGAAGAGGAGGGAAGATGGGTTGACACAGGGTTAATCCTCTAGAGTTTGAAGGGTAGAGCCCAGAGCTGTCTTTGAAGTGAGCCCAACAACGCACATGGTTTTTCCTGATATAACAAAGCTTTCACATCAAATAAGACTTTGAAGATATTATTTTTGAAGTTGGGGTGTTCCACACCCATATATTTATTGAACATTTCAGGGTCCATTGTTGAGATAATATTCTTCTCACTTCCCTTTCTAAAAATTCCATTTTGACTCCTAGAAACCTGTTCTAGGATTTGTTTGCCTTAAACTCTTTTCCTCTCTAAGGACTTGCTCTTTGGGAGAAGGGAGAAAACAATCTTCTTCTCTTTAGATAATGTACCCTTACTGAAGGCATGTGTAGGAAAGGTAAAATGTGCATAAAATTCATTCTTTAAAAGCTCCCCAAACACAATTTTTGCTTAGTCTCTTTGTGATTGCGAGGACCCTAATTAGTGTCAAATTTTTAGGCAGAAACCAGGTGAAGTAGACTGGTTTGCTGACCTAATGCCTTATGTAAATTAAGCCATGTCTTTAAGAAAGAAAGCTAAGGGTAGCAAGAAACCTGACAACTGATTACTTCATTCACAGCACGTTGTAGGAACATATTATATGTACATCCATATAATACGTATCATCACATGAATATGTCCCAGGGGTATGTCTTGTGACTACATGTAGGGCTTGGGTCAGAGTTTCTCATCCCCAGCAATACTGACATTTTGGGCAGGGAAATTCTTTGTCCTGGGGGGCTGTCCTGTGCTTTATAAGATGTTCCACAACATCATCGGTCCCAACCCACTAGATCCCCTTAACATACCACCACCAGCACCACCCCACACCCCTGACAAGTCATGACAACCAAAATTGTCTTCAAATACTGCCATGTCTCCCCTGAAGGACAAAAACACCTTTGTGAGAACCATTAGGTTACGATTAGTTTAAATTTGAGTTAAGGTCAGCATTTCTACAATTCTGTCACACACTATTAAAATGAAAAATTGATACATCTCATTTCTCCAGTAGGCTATATTATTTTCAAGAGCAAGGAGCCAATGTTTACCACCATATTTTCTCACAGAAAAGCTCAAAAACATTTGATGAGTGAGTAGGTGAATAAATGAGTCAACAAAGAGGGGAATGATTAAACCAACAAATGGGGGAAGTGTATAGAGAGAATTCTTAAAAAGAAGATAGTTATGTTTTAGGGATTTGAGGGAATTTTTAAATTGATGTTATAGAGAAGATAGAGAAAACAGGGATAAGGACAGAGAGAGAGAATCCCTTCTTGCTAGAACATCTGTTATGCGGCACAGAGGAGGACATGGTAGCAAGGGCTGGCATTCAGTCTGAAGAACCTGGTGCCTCACTTGGTCACCAAGTGTTCACAACTGACTGTTCCTTCCACGGTGCTTTTTCTTGACTGAACTTGAGTCAGGCTCGTGTCCTTATTACAGACCCCTTACATTCTGCTTGCCCCAATTCTGAGTAAACACAACACGAGGTGGAATGTGCCCCAGCCCCCATCATCTTCTGAAACTGGACTGCAGCAGGACACTTTCCTGTCAGTCTCCACTGATCGTTTCCCCTTCCTTGTCCAGCTTCCTCTCCAAAGATCCCATTTATGACTGCTTGCCCTAAAGTGAAGGATTATGCTATAAAAGTAAACCTTTTTTCTGTTTGATTTTAAGATGCTTGCAGATTTCGGCAATCAGAGTGTCCTTCCTACTGCAATTCTTTCTTCTAAATAAAGCCTCCCCCTATCAAAGTCTGGATTTGTTTTCGTTTGACACCAGGTTTCTGAACCCAAGTTTTATCTTCTGCAAAGGGAAGAAGAAAGGAAAAAATGGCCTCTCTGGGGCCATTCCAGTCTGTGATTTATGGAGACCCAAATTTAGTTGGTCTATTTCAAACTTTAAGAGAAAAAGATATGCACACTTCCCAGAGGTGGATCAAGTGATTGTCATTCAATCAAAGTTCATGATTGGTCAACATTTTTTTTACCATAGCCTGGAAATGCTTCAGTGCCCATCCAGTGTGAATTTTAACAAAACATCATCCTACTTTGTATGTGTGGAATGACAAGATGTAATATATATTGATTCCTTCCTTTCCAGGGGCTCTGGCAGCCTTCACAGCAGGCTGTGTAAAAGTCAACTGGGATCTCCTGGGAGAGATGGCCCTGGCAATGTTCTCAGCAGTGGATGCAGGTTCTCTACTTCTCATGCATTACACAAATAATATTTGGGTGTGCTACGCTGGTTTCGTGATATTCAAGTCAAGTTACATGTTTCTCATAACGATAGCAGCGTAAGTATTTGTCATTTCTTTATCTAAATCTCAAGCAACAGAACAGGTTTCTTTATTTATTCTTCTAGTTCTTCTGAATAGCATTTGCAATGTTATATTTAATGCTTAATATAAGAGACAACAACGATATTCCTATTTTAACAGACTTTCTCCTGGAACTTTAAGGTTATTAATCAGGCAAAAAAATTCAAAGTTCTCATAATTAATAAATAGCAATATGCTCTGAGGTTTTGATTTTTTATATTTTTTATTGTATTTATTTAACAGAATAATTTTATCAATTTTTTTCATTTATAGCCCTCTTTTTTTTTAATTTGGTAAAAACATGTAACATGAGTTCTATCTCTCTTTGCAGACTTTTAAGTGCACACTGCAGGATTGTTATCTGTAGATACAATACTGTACATCAGACTGCTAGAACCTATTTATGATACATAACTGAAAGATACGTATTTATACACATTAAGTAGCAACTTAATTTTCCTCTTCACGCAGCCCCTAGAAACTACCATTCTATTCTTCCTTCTATGAATTTGATTATTTTAGACAACTCATATCAGTGGAATCATGCAACATATGTCCTTCTATGACTGAAACATTTCATGTAGCTTAGTGTTCCCAATATGCATCCATGTTGTCCCATATTGCAGGATTTCCTTTTTTTTTTTAAGGCTAAATTATAGTTGGTTGTACGTATATACCACATTTTCTTTATTCATTAATCCATCTACAGACGTTTAGGTTGTTTCCACATCTTGGTTATTATGAATAGCAGTATAATGAACATGGGAGTGCTCTCATTTCTTCTAGGTCCTGATTTCAATTACTTTCAATAAATACTCAGAAGTGGGAATTTCTGGATTGTATGGTAGTTCTATTTTTAATTTGTTAAAATCCATACTGTTCTCCATAATGGCTGTACCATTTTGTATTCCCACCAACAGTGTACCATAGTTGTAATTTCTCCAATTTGATTTTGTTTTATTTATTGATATGTGATTGTATCTAATTTTGACTCAGTTTAGTTTTCACCCCCTACCTGCTTGAATAATCATAGCACATCTGTTTCTTTTTGAAACAAATTATCAAGTAGTCTCAGAGCAGCTGTAGAACTGAAGCTGTTCTATAAAACTACATATAAAAATAAGAAACGTTAAATCATACAGTAGTTTAAAGATAGGGAATATTTGATCTCAATTAATTAGAATAGAAAGAAAATGATCTAAGGAAGTGATGAATGTTGCCTAGAGAATGCCTAAAAAAGGACTAGGTAGGTATTGCTCATAATTTCCTGTGTGGCAGTATGTTTAATTTTAATTAGGAAGTTGATCAAAGACAAAGCAAACATCTAAAAATATTTTCCTTGACCTAACATCAGCTGTATAATCTTGGACATACTATTTGGCCTTAAATTTTTCTTAGAGACCTATGGAACACAAAAAACTATATCAATATATGCATTATGAAGTCCCAGAAGAAGTGAACATAAAGGAGAAAAAAAGTGTTGTGATAATGGTGAGAAAGTTCCCAGATTTGATCAAAAGCATTAATGATATATTCAAAAAATGCATGAACATTCATTTAAAACATTAATTTGTACATTCAAGAGGCTCACCCATGAACTCCATGTAACTTACAATTGAGTTTCTATCTACCAGTTTGTTGTTTACTATTTGTCCCACCTATTCATTTGCCTTTATTCCTCTTTTGAAGTTAATTGAGTTTTCATTTTTAATTCCATTTTTCTTGTTTTTCTTGGCTAAGTCTTTATGTTTTTAGTGGGATTAGATTTTTAACTCATCAGTTTTTGTTAAATTAATACTATACCACTTTGTGTGTAAATACTTTACAGCAACATAATTCCATTTACTCCCTGTGCCTTGTACTGTTTTAGAGATTTTACTCCAGTTTCTGTTATAAACCCTACAATACATTATTAGTCTATTTACTTTAAACAAGAAAAAAATTTTTTAATTAGGACCAAAAAAATAATCTTTTATATTTACTCATAGATTTACAATTCCTAATTCTTCTCATTTCTTTCTGTAAGAAATTTCTTTCTCCTTTCCATCTGCTATTGATTCCCCGAGCCTGAAAACTTATTTTATTTTTTTTAAAGATTTTATTTATTTATTTATTTATTTGAGAAAGAGAATGAGAGAGAGGGAGCATGATAGGGGAGAGGTCAGAGGGAGAAACAGACTCCCCGCTGAGCAGGGAGCCTGATGTGGGACTCAATCCTGGGACTCCAGGACCATGACCTGAGCTGAAGGCAGTCACTTAACCAACTGAGCCACCCAGGCACACTGAAAACTTATTTTAACATTTCTTTTAGTACAAGCCACCTGGTGACAATTTTGCTCAAATTTTATTTATTTGAAAATACATTTTATGTCATTTTAAAGTATATTTTTGCTGATTAGAATTCTAAGTTGATAGTGTTTTTTCCCCCATTCAACACTTTAAGGATTTATTATTATTCCATTGTCTTCCAGCTTGCCTTAAGGAGTTTGTTGTCATTCTCATTGTTGTTCTTCCTCTAAATGTGATGATAATTTTGCTTTTGGCTATTTCTAAGATTTTCTATTTTTATTTGATTTTTAGCAGCTTTACTATACTTACATTTTCTTTATGGAATAGTATGATTTTTGGCTTGCCCTGTTATTTTCTTATTGTTATTTTAGTCTTTTCTGACCATCAACATCTTAACAAGGAGATCTCTATCTTCCCCCACTTTTATTTTAGAAATTATTTGAAAGGTTTCATTTTCTCTCAGCAGTCTAACTCTTGATTAGGAAAAGGAACTTAAGTCAAACCTAAATTAGTTTGATTTAATGCTCAATGGCTACATTTAGGAAGATGGAGACCTTGCAAATTAGTAAAAAAATTTTTTCAGAGTTATTTTTACTGTTGTTGACCACAGCTTTCATATAGTGAAAAAGTAAAAAGTATATTATTCTTGAATATTTCAGAACAGATTGGTTCACAGCCATCTGCATATTTATTGCATACTGTGAAGCGAGTCAATTTGCTCTACTAAAGAAACAAATAGGAAATTTTGAAAAAAAATTGTAAGATTAACTGTCAGAATATGAGATGGTTTAGGAAAAAGCAAACAACCCAAATGTTTTGATGTTTTGAGAAATTCTCAGAATGATTTATTATACACATGAGGAAGTGAGGGTTAAACTATAGGAATAGTAAGAATGCTAAGATTCTGAGAGGCCATGAAGATGGAACTCATATTTTGATTGTCAGGGTTTTCCCAGACAGTATGTTCAGAGCATTCTACATAAAGCTCAATGATCATCTTTCATCTAATATGTCAATTCAGTCAGATGACTGATAAGCTTAGTGAAAAGGGGTATTATTTTAGATGTAATTAACTTTGGTTACATTAATTAAATTATCTAATTACTGGGCAGGACTCAACAAATAGTATCTTAGTGTTAGGATACACACTCACAGGGGGGTGGGGAAGAGAACTTGACCTCAAATATCCACGAAATTTGGTGCTAAATGAAATTATCACTCCCATGTCCAACTTCAGAATACTAATAGAATATCATTTTCTCTGTAGGTGAATCCAGTCTCTGTAACCTCACTTACATCTTTTTACTACTCTAACTTCTAAGAAACTTTTAAAATAAATTTAGCATGTGTAGGATAAGTGTATTTCTAATGCAAAGGATTAGAGTTCAGATTTAGAAGAAATTCTAAGGTGATTGACCATCCATGGTTTCAACCATCATGTGATACAAGAAGTTCATATAAAAAAATCTGATTATTCTACAAAAGAAGATATTTACTTCATATTCTGTTTCATGACAAAAGTGATAAATTTAATTAATATTAGTCAAAGCCGTTATCTGGGTCCAGTTAAGTATTCCCTGTTGGAGTGAAAGTAGAATCACGCTCGTGCACTGGTATGCCTATGAAGTCCCTGCTTCATAATGAACATTTGGTTAGCATTTCTGGAAAACAACAACAACAATAACAATAAGCAAGGGGTACCTGGGTGACTCAGTCTGTTAGGCATCTGCTTTCAGCTCAGGTCATGATTCTGGGGTCCTGGAATCAAGTCCTATGTCAGGCTCCCTGCTCATCGGAGAATCCACTTCTCTCTCCCTCTCCCTCTGTCCCTTTTCCTGTTCATGTTCTCTCTCTCTCAAATAAATAAAATAAATAAAATCTTAAAAAAAAAAAAACTACGAACAAATGCAATAATATAACATAATATAATATAACATTAAAAAAAACTTTAGGCTATTGAATTTTTTTATGGGCAAAAAGCAATTGTTCCTATGACTTCCTTTAACATACAGGGTAAATGGATAAATTGAATCCCACAATGCCATAACATATGGAACATAAATGATCAAATAAAATTTCAAAGTGGTTCTATCTTTAAATTACAGACTATCTTACAGGCTTATCTGTATTTAGTGTTAATTGCCTAACAGAACATGAATACAATTCAGTTCCCAAGAATTTATTAGCCCTGAGCAGTGTACTCAGCATGGTAGATTTATGCCTATGTAAAATGACCCAGTAGGAGCTTTGAAAAAGGTTTTAGATACTATGATTCCTTGTCATTTCAGTTACCTGGGACAGTAATTTTTGGGTTTAGTCTGAAAAAGCTTAGCATTCAATGCCACGCTGAGCCTGATGTCATCATTACGCCTCTATCTGAATCTACCACATATAGAAGTCTTATCCAAAACAAAGTAATCACTGATACTTTGTTAAGCATCTGTACAGATTAAATCAAGATTCCAACCTGGAATAATTTGTATACTAAAAGGGAATCTGCCATTTGATTTAATCTAGGTTTCAAGAGCATCTATCTAGTATAGCATTTTTTTCCCCCAAAGGAAAAATTGTTAGCAGAGCAAAAAACTCCTGAAATTATAAGGCTCACCTGGACCACATGTTATATTCACTTTGTGGGATTCAGGATAATTTATGGGTTTTGTTATGTTGGTAATGTTTTGCACTGAAATAATACATTTTCATTGAATCACATAATTTTAAAACACTTATATTTGTTTTTTAATGTGAGGATTTGGGGAGAGGATGTAAAAATTGTTTAAAATTTTCCATTTGTTTTCATATTTTTAAATAAATTCAGGTTATAAATATTTTAGCTAAATTAGATGGAAGAATTTGAATGCATATATTTCAGTCTTGCCTGACTAAATTCAAAAACCCAATCATTTACTTAAAATGAACTAACAATCAGACTGAACCAACTGTGAGAGCAAATAATTTGTGAGTTTTCCAGAGAAAAATTCATCTATTAGACTCTGAAACTGCTAATGTAGACAGTCAATGATCCAGAAGAGAATCCAAATAAGTAAAAACTCATCAAATAGACTTGTGATTTACTCATTGATATATCAAGGTTAAAGAGTGACTGTTAAACCATATCCATGTCCAATAATGTTCAGTGTTCCTTAATTGCAGAACATTTGAAACATTTGGCTTAATTTTAGAGAAGGTTAATTAGTTTTAAATTCTTATAATATATCACATCACATGGAATGTTTGTTAAAAATATAACACCTCACTATTCCATTTACCCTTCTTTCCTTTTTCTCTGCTAGAAGAACTTTTCAGCAAGAACTTCAACAGAAGACTGGGCTGCCTGAGGGGAGACAAATCTTGGAAACAACACAACTCCCTGCTCTGTATTCAAAAGCCTACATATGTGGGCACCCGGGTGGCTCAGTGGGTTAAGCATCTGCCTTCAGCTCAGGTCATGATCCCAGGGTCCTGGGGAGCCCCCATCAAACCCTGAATAGAGCTTCCTAGTCAGTGAGGAGTCTGCTTCTTCTTGCTCTGCCTCTTCTCACTGTCACTTGTGTGCTCTCTCTGCTTTCTCTCTCTCCCAAATGAATAAAAAAAATTTTTTTAAACAAAATAGAAGCCCACATATGTGTACTTTCAAAACTCTTTCCATTTGTACACTTTTAGATTTCAGGTTGCTGTTAATCTCAGTGTGGAACGCTATGCCCTGGTGTTCGGAATCAACACCTTCATTGCCCTGGTGATCCAGACTGTCATGACTGTAACTGTGGTTGACAACCAGGGACTGGGGCTTCCGGTCAGCATCCAGGTAAGGGCATGCCTCTGTGCCCTCACTGACACAGAGGTATACTTTGAAAACTATACACACACATACATATGTTTATATTATTACACATAGTAATTGGACTTGCTGAGATATAATTTTCATAAAATAAATTGACATATAAAAAATTTATTTACAGTTCTGTTAATTTGGGCAAACACACAGCTGTGTAGCCACCACCACATGAAAATAAAGACCCACCCCTTCAGCCAGACAATGCCCGCCCCCCCTTGCTGTCAGCTGCCTCTCTCCATGCTACCTCCCCAGTCAATTGATGGGTTTTCAATCCCTATCGTTTTGTCATTTTAGGAAGTCATATAAATGGAATCATAGAGACATAGCCTTTTATTTCTGGCTTGTTTTCATTTAGCATGGTGTCTTCACTGGAATAATTTTATACTGAGAGGTATAAATACGATGTAGTTAAGATACATTCTATTTCTTAGGAAATTTTTTCATTAAACAGGTGACCTTTTCATTGAGCAGGTGAAAGAATGAAAGCATTACCTAAAATAGACCCATAAAGTCATTCCAGTTTAAGAGGTTCTAATACCCACAGCTAAATGTTTTTCTTGCCCTGGTTAAAATTCCATCTTATGAATGCTTAGTTCACAGATTTCATAAGCCTACTCAGTCTCATGGACAAAATGGTAGATCTTACATGTCTCTACACATCCCTAATGCAAATGTTTAGAATATTGAGTCATCTTCTTTAAAAACAAAAAGAGAAAAAGAAATCATTTCAGGATACACAATTGAATGAGTAGTATTTAAGAAATCTATTTTAATCTCAAACTAGTTTAACAGAAGGAAAGATAACTTCATTGAATAAATATTAAAAGTAAGATTACTATAGGCTTGTGTCTTTTTGAGGACATAAAGAGATCAGTTGTTACTTTCTAAAATAAAATTTAAATTCCTATTTTATCATCCAGCTTTCCAGCTTTTTAGAAATCATTGGGTATGTGATGTGATCAAGAGAGCACAAACCTGAAATCAACAAAGTATGGATAAAAATCTTGATGTTTACAAGTGATTTCTTTTTTTTTTTAAAGATTTTATTTATTCATTTGACAGACAGAGATCACAAGCAGGCAGAGAGGCAGGCAGAGAGAGAGAGGGGGAAGCAGGCTCCCTGCTGAGCAGAGAGCCCAATGCGGGGCTCGATCCCAGGACCCTGGGGTCATGACCTGAGCCGAAGGCAGCGGCTTTAACCCACTGAGCCACCCAGGTGTCCCTATGAGTGATTTCTTAAGAACTTTTAATTATATTATAAAACTAGAAAGAATAGTGTCATGATATCCCAGGCATCCATCACTCAAATTTATGGCCAATCTTATTTCATCTGTACCTGCCACACACTTCCTCATTCTTCCCCTAGAGATATAATTTTCTTAAAGATTTTATTTATTACCTGAGAGAGCATGAGAGAGCACAGAGGGAGAGGGAAAAGCAGATTCCCCACTGGGCAAGGAGCCTGATATGGGATTCGATCCCAGGACCCTGGGACCATGACCTGAGCTGAAGGCAGACACTTAACCAACAGAGCCACCTGGGTGCCCCCTGTAATTTCTTTTTTTAATGTCTGTTTTCTCTTCAGTAGAATGGAAAATATAATACCTACTTCATGAGTTCTTACACAGATTAAATGCCTGCCTATAAAATATACCATTCCCAGGCTACAGTGCACTCAATACATAGATGTGTCTCTCTCCTTTCTTAATACAAAGAAACAAGAGATACTCACATGAGTCAATTCTGTTAGGATGCACTTACCTTTTCTGAGGACTTCTGCAGGAATATCCTCCAGATATCTCCTTTATTTTTCCACAAATCCACTGAGTCTTAATCTGAAATTAATGAATTCCTAGAACTGAAGGAGGCAACCCAGAACTTAAGAAGAAAATTGCCTGTCAGTCTGTCCATCCTCCTCCTTGCACTATTTTGTGTAACCTGATTTAAATGACAACTTTGTGGGAAAATCAATAAATTTTGACCTTTCGGGGGAGATCACGTGGACATCCAAAGCCAGGGGTGAAAATTAAGTTTGGCAGAAAAAGTCACGCTTCATTTTTGTTTCCCTTGATAAGCCAAGATTTCCAAATCCTTTTATCTTCTCAACCAAGGGAAATCTAGATTCAGGGCACTCCTCTAAAATCGTTTTTTGTATTTCTATCTTGTCTTATCATCTCTGCCACTATCCTCAATGCTACAACAACTTTCTTTGAGATTCTTTCATGTAAGTTAGGTAAAGTAAAACTCAACTCCTAAATAAAGTACTAGTTTCCCCAGGTGCCAGAGCAGGGTAAGCACAAAATACACAGTCCAAAGGCATAAGGGAAGACAACCCCTATTTCTATCAAATATCCCCCAGACAAAAAAGTGTTACTGCAGATTTCTGGGTTTGAAAAGCAGCCCTCTTAAAATTGATTTTGGGTAGAAATCTAATGAAATACGCTTGGATTAACTTCAGAAAACCAAGAATAAAGAGTTATATTGATTAATAACTCCCAAGTCTCAATCATAAATGTCCATTTATCATTGGTTATGCACTTAATGATATCCCATGAGCTTCTTAATATAATTTCAAGTGCATTTTAAAAGATTGGAATCTAAAAAATAGAAACTACAACCTAAGTCTGCATTTTCATAGAACATAGAGATTCAGTGGAAAGAAATCTGCATTTAGGCATCCTGAACTAATTCCTCCATTTCCTCATTATTTCTCAGCCTGTTATCCCAACATAGGCTTTTATAGATTTCTCAATTTAAAAGGACCATAGAGATCTTAAAAAAAGTTTCCACGTATATCTTTGAATATTACTGAAAGGCTAGGGGGAAAATGCCCATGAGAGCAGCTAAAAGAATCTTTTTACCTCATCTAGAAAAAGCTAAGAAGTAATTTAGCTAGTTATGTAAGAAGCAGTAACTTTAGAATATAGCTTTACTGAAGGCATAAGAACATACTATGGTACACTGATGATATAAAATAATTTTCTGGGGGAATTTTGTTTTTAAAAAATAGACAAAATTCATAGGTATAAATATGAGGGACTTTTAGAGGGAGTGGGTGAATAATCACACAAATCCAAAAAGGTTAATTTTTTAAAAAATAATCCTTTTGAGGGGCACCTGAGTGGCTCAGTCAGTTAAGTGTCTGACTCTTGGTTTCAGCTCAGGTCATGATCTCATGGTCTTGAGATGGAGCCTGGCATCAGGCTCTACACTCAGCAGATAGTCTTCTGGAAATTATACCCTTCACCCTCTCCCTCTGCTCCTCCCCCTGTATGCTTGCTCTCCACCTCCCCAAATAAGTAAACAAATAAAATCTTTAAAAAGTAATCCCTTTGTTAGGTTTCACATGAAAACACCCAATTACTCACAGGTTGGTTACCTGTTACTATATCCCTCCATTCCTCTCACTCCCCACCCGGTTCCACCCTTCAGTTTGCAGAGATGCCCTTTGGAATGGAGAACACACTGGTAATCATCAATTTTTTTTAATATTTTATTTATTTGACAGAGAGAAATCACAACTAGGCAGGCAGACAGAGAGAGAGGAGGAAGCAGGCTCCCTGCGGAGCAGAGAGCCCAATGCGGGGCTCGATCCCAGGACCCTGGGACCATGACCCGAGCCGAAGGCAGAGGCTTTAACCCACTGAACCACCTAGGTGCCCCAATCATCAATTTTTTATTGATTGAGAGAGTTGACATTCATTCAATTCCCATTCATGAATCTCATTACTTTCACCAGCCTCCTCGCTGGATGATCTTGAAGCTTAACATGAAAAGCAACACTTGATCCTGTCAGGGAGGAAAAATATTGTTTCCTCTCACCCAGTTTGGTTCTCAGCTGCATCTCTGTAACAAAAACAAATTAGCAAAAGCATACAAATGTATTTGATTTAAGTTTTGTGTAACAAAGGAACCTTCGTAAGGAAGGAAGTGAAGACCCCAAGTAATAGTTGAGCCTGAATGTTTTTATGCTAGATTTGATAAAGGGTGGAAAGTTATGGGGGAAAAAATATGATAGGACAAAAAGGATATGAACTAAGAATAGTAAATTGGGGGAACTTCACACTGCCTGTTCATTCAGATTCCTCTCTGTGTCCTTTTATCTTTGGAGATAAGGATGTCCTTTCCTCCGGGTATAGATACTCAGTTCTTACGACCTGCTCCAAAGGAAGGTCAGAAAGTCCTTCCTGCACCTGCCGTGCCTCCGACTCCTTCAGTTAAAAAACATTCACTATGCCAAAGTGTCATACTTGGGAGTAACTTGTCCTGAACCCCATCACCAGCAAGTTGGGGAAGCACACAAGAAAAAGAAAAGGGGAAGGCCACTGATACAAAGTGACGCTTCGATGACATGGACACCACAGCTGCTGCTGTGCTCTATCTGCCATGTCCTCATGGAGAAATGAGAAATGATCCTCCCCAGCTCTCTTGGCAGGAAGCCACTGCACTCAGCCACTCAGGGACCAGATGGACCCCCGATTACACACTCCATTAGATTATCTAGCTAGGATAACTGGTACTTTTGGCTGCCTTAAATTAAATAAAAATTAGAATCATGAAAATGGAGTTTTAGTTTTAACCCCAAAGGGCTTAATAAGGGAAGGGGCACTCTAAACAGAAAGATTATCTCACAAAAAGTAGAACAGTGACGCTATTATTTTGAGTGCATGGAATGGGGATTCCTTTAGATTCTGGGAAGCCTCCCATATCAATTATGAGATTTTTTTGATGTATTTAAAGCATGGACTATTGGCCAGTCCAGATAGCTCAGATGAATGTTTTCAGGCCGCATTCATTAACTCAAAACATGTGAGATGTGTGGTCTGTTGGATTTGGGTTTCACTATTTCATAAACCATTTTTGGAATCTTAAAGAGTAACTGAAGGTGAGCCCAGATTTTCATTATCAAACAAAATAACTGCCTATACAGATTTTCAGTGAGTTTGAGTCCTGATCTTCAGACATTGTCTTGTTTTCTTACTTTTCTGTTCTAGTGGAAATGGTCTGAAGGCAAATACCTTGAGAGGAGTGGGGTTGAGGGATTGTGTTTGAAGAAGGAAAAGAAGAGTGGTGTCCACATTGTTTGAAGTTTAAAGTAAACAAGTGTTGTTGTTTCTTTAAATATTAAATTAAGAAAGACTTACTTCCATTAAGAGCTATAGAATTTAAGAAATACTAAAATAAGAAAGGCTTATTTCCATTAAGGCAACAATAAACTGGATATCAGAAAAAGACAAAACACCTAGAACTCCTGGATATAAATTTAAGATTTTTTTTTTAAATAAATGGCTGAATTGGTAAGAAATAAGAACACTCCGCAGAGGTCAAAGCAGGAACAGGAAACCAGATAGATAAGGAAGCACTGAATCTCTCATGTGCTTGAGCATCTGCTGATTCTCCCAGCGACCTGGAATTTTGGTTTTAGTGGCAACCCCAAAAGCTATATCCTCCATGAGTGGTGAAGCAGAAACAAAACATGAAATTATGGGGGAAATGCCAACATAGAAGATGAATCTGGGTGGTATCAGAGGAATTTACCCTGGAAATTTGCTTTCATAAGCCAGCACTCACATAATTCTAGGGCCCAGTTTCTACAGGCTAAACATTTTTTTTCTTTTCCTAAAGCTGAGTATTTAGTTTAAAATGGCCCTGGTTGATAATGGCCCCCAGGTACCTGTATGTATCAAAACAAATGTTCTCCGGAAAGACTGTCCCTCAATACAGAAATCAAAAAAAAAAAAAATTGCCACAGATAAAATGCCACCAAATATGAGATTATTTCTTAAAAAGTCCAAAATCGTGCCTGGATATAAAGTAGCATGAGCCAGCCAAGTGAAATAATAAAAAGCAGAATCAGACTAACAAAGATTTGAGACAGAAGAATTTCCAGCATTAGAATAAAAAGATGTTTGACAGGCTTGTACACAAAGGAAAATAATAACATGAGAATGGAATGAGGTACTTCATGAATGCTTGTGAATATTTGGGAAAAATAGAACTCATGAGATTAGAAACTTAAATATGTTAAGAGCAAGTTAGACATATAATAGGAAAAAATACTGAATGGGGGAAAAATCACCAAGAATGCAGCAAAGAAAGAAGGAAGTGGGAAAATTAACACATGTGGAGATGAAACTGAGAAAGTTTAACAAATATCTATCTGGAATTCCTTGAAGAGATAATAAAAGCAGTAAAGAGATGCCAAAAAAGAAATATTCACTGAGAATTTTCCAGACGTATTCTCAGAATTAAGAAAAAAGCCCCCAAAATCTCAAAAAGAGTAATTAAAAAGAAATTCATTTCTAAGCACACTATGGTTAAATGCAGAAAACCAAAGAAAAAGAAATCTTAAAATTAGAGAAACAGAAATCAGCTATAGGTGGTCAAGAGTGGACCTGTCAGTAGCTTACAGTAGAAGCCAGCAAAGCAAAGGCTTCAAGTGTTACAGAGAACAATGGCCAGCCCAGAATCATAGACAAAGAGAAACTCTGTTATAAAAATAAGAGTAAAACAAGGACATTTTCAGACAAACGAAAATAGAATCAGTGTGTTATCACCAACAAACCTTTACAAAAACAATTTCTAAAGTAAGCATTTGAGGAAGAAGGAATATTATCCCAAAAGGAAGGTATTCCCAAAGGAAGGAATGTGAAAAAAGAACTAAACATGTGAGTAAATCTAAACAAACACTAATCATTAATACTTAGGGGCATCTGGGTGGCTCAGTCAGTTAAGCATCCAACTCTTGATTTTAGCTCAAGTCATGATCTCAGGGTCCTGGGATGGCGCCCCCTGTTGCACTCTGCAGTCAGCTTGGAGTCTGCTTGAGATTCTCTCTCCCTCCCTTTCCCTCTGCCCCTCCCCATCCTCTCTAAAATAAATAAATAAATAAATAAAATCTTTAAAAGTAAAAAATAAAACAATAATACTTATATTTTATATCTTAAGGAGTTTTTTAAAAAGATGCCCAAAGTACTGGACAACAATAGTATCTATCAGTAGAGGATGTTCAAAACTCGGGATTTTTGTGCTCTTCTGGAGGAGGGGAGGAATTATTGATTAGAAACTGCTAGGGCGACACACTAAGCAGAGAACGGGTTGGGAGTCCATCTGGTAGGGAGGCGGATTTTACCACCAGCATTGTTTAAATTGCTGCAGCATGACGATAATGAGATGCAACAGACTTTTAATCAGTTTTATTATAGTTTTAAAATTCTCTGCACAGAGTTCTCCCCACTTACTGCCCATACCCAAGGCAGACAACTCCCACCACCATCACCTTTATACATTACTGATTTGTTTATTTAAAAGTCAATATTTCAAGTGTAACCATGAAAAATAATTAGAAGTAGATTATGCAATTTTTATACAGAAGAGAGGAATTAAATAGTATGTGGAAAAAGAGTCACATGAAAGAGCTCAAGAAAGGAGGGGAAAATTAAGGAGCATAAAAATCGGAAAAATATGGTGACAAAAAACACAAATATGCTAGTTGTCACTAAAATAACAAATTAATTCATATATTGGACAGCCAATTTACAGGAAATAGGGGAAGCAAAAGAACTCATTATATGACACCCAGAATTATCACCAAAAAAAACCAACATCTGGGAAATTAGTTTTTCAACAAATAAAATTTTAAAAAAAGATCAATAGTGTCTTAAGAAATTCAGTAATCATTCACAATGTGTGGATCTTATTTGAATACTGATTCATACCCAGAAACTAAAAATATTATGAGACAAGCAGGGAAACTTGAATACTGACTAGAAGACATTAAACAATTGCTAATATTTTAGGTGTATTAACGATTCATGGTGACGCTCTTGTGTGTCCCTCTTTTTAAAGATACAAGCTGAAATATTTATTACATTATATGATACTGGATTCAAATTAATCTGCGAGGGGAAAGGGGAAGTGATTGGGGAATTGTAGAAACAAGAGTGACTATGAGCTGGTGATTGATGAAAACAGGTCATGGATTCATGGGCATTTGGATACTGTCCACTTTTGTGAATGTTTATAATTTTCCAAAAATAAAAATCAAGCAATTCAAAGCTGAACAACCCAGGAAAAAAAAAGAAAAATGTATTTTCAGGTTAGATTCTTAAAGGTTTACAACTATAGTCTATTTACAGAAGACACATTTAATATTACAAAGACATGTGAAGTTTGGGGGGGGGAGGAAGGAAAACTCATACCATGCAAACAAAAATTTTAAAAGCAAATACAGTCAAATTTTTTAAAAGATAAAACATAATTAAGACCTCTTGATCTGTATATCTAAGAAGAATCATTAAAAATGATTAAACATTTCATCAATTCATTAGAAACATATACAAGTTCTAAACTTCTGTACATCTATTAGTATCATTTCAATATTTTGAATAGATATGCTGTCTTCTTTCTTTTTATTTTTATTTTTTTGGATAGAATACTGTCGAGCATGTTATATTCTAAGAAAAAAATAAACTCCCAATTCCATACACTAAATGTGAATATGAAAAAAGAAGGCAAGCAAGAAGGAAGACTATATAGATGGAGAGTTTCAGAAGCACAGACAGTTAACATTGATTGAATTCTACTACATGGGTATTGTTCTATATATCTTATATGTAATAACTCATTTAATCCTCACAACAAATGTGTAAATATTGTTATTATTCTAATTTCACAGTTGAGAAAATGGAGGCAGAGACAGAATCCATGACCTATTTAAGATCTCCCAGCTAGTAATAAAGCATCACTATTTACCTTCAGTGTTGAATACCCATTTTAATGTCATTCATTAATTTATTTTTCTTTTGTAGTTTTTAATTTATGGGAGTTATTTTTCTATTATTGCTGGAATTTTCCTGATGAGAAGCATTTACATAATCTGTTCAGTCAAATGCGGAAAGGAAAAATGTAGGTCTACTGCTACTGGTCAGAATCCAAGTGAACCGGAGAACTCCATGTCTGGTATGAACACAGTAACACAGTTTTAGCCTGGTCCATCCTAACATGGACTCAAAGGGAGGACAACTCTGAAAATATATGGTGCTATACTACGTGACATTTTAATTTTTTGTCCTAGATTAAGATACCATAAAAGACAGGATTATCATCAACCTTATCAACACCACATCAAAATCTCTGCTATGGGCTGGTGAACTGGATACAACCAAAAACTGTAGTCAGCCAAGTTGAAACCAGCCATCTTCATGGACTTGATGAGCAACTAGGACCCTAAATACAGTTTTAATACTTTCAAATCCACCCCAAAAGAACATGGAAATCAGACAAATGGGACCATGCAAGAACAGAAACATGAAATATCACAGAGTGAATGATGTATACTGGCTTTTTGTGCCCAACTTCATAAAAGTGTGATTTGTTTTGGTTTGAATAGTAGATTAAAAAGTTTCTCATGCAGGCCTGATGCATAGTAAATGATCTACATGTGATAACCATTATGATTATACTCATACTATATACTATGAAAAAAGTTAGAATGGGGGAAATCATTTAATTCCTATAAAATTGGGCCAAAAAAATAAGGAAAAAAATGTTTTTAAAGATTTTATTTATTTATTTGACAGAGATCACAAGTAGGCAGAGAGGCAGGCAGAGAGAGAGGAAGGGAAGCAGGCTCCCTGCTGAGCAGGGAGCCCGACTCGGGGCTCGATCCCAGGACTCTGGAATCATGACCCGAGCCGAAGGCAGAGGCTTTAACCCACTGAGCCACCCAGGCGCCTCAAGGAAAAAAATTTTTATTAAACTTTACAATGACCTTACATGAAAAGATCAAATATTGTAATGATTTCAATTCTTTTCAAACTAATGGATAAGTTTGTTGTAATTTGTGACAGTCAGTCTTTTGTGTCATCCTGACTAGGTTCTCAAGTTCCTTATTTATTCAAACAAGTACTAATCGAAGTGTTGCTGTGATATATTTTGTAGATGTGATCAAAGTTCATAATCCGTTGACTTTAAGTAAGTAGATAACCTGGATGGGCCCAATTCCATCAGTTGAAAGGCCTTAAGAGCAGAACTGAGCCTTCCCAGAGGAAGGAGAAGTTCCATCTGAGGACATGCCTAAGAATTCTAGCCTACCTGTCCTGATGACCTGCCCTGTGAATTTTGGACTTGGCCTCCCCAGCTCCCCCAATCAAGTAAGCCAACTCCTTTAAATAAATTTTTCAATATATATCTCCACTGGTTGTTTCTCAGGCTAAATTCTGATTGATACAGATTTTGGTACCAGGAGTGGTTGTAGAGGACAGATTTTTAAGAAAGACTTTTCTGTACAGCTTCTGGGTTTTCTGGAACTTGTTTTCTGATCTAGTTAGATTTAAAGCCACTATGAATCTGTTTCTGGTCATAAAACAGGCACTAGTAGTCATGGCATGATGTGATTTTAGACACATAAGTGTCACCATTGGATACTCCTAATCAAATACTATATTAGTTTCCTAATGTTCTTATAACAAATGACCACAAATTGAGTCACTTTAAACAACATAAACTTCTTTTCTCACAGTTCTGGAGGCTAGAAGTCTGAAATCAAGGTGTTGGTGGGCCCATACTTTCTCTCTGAAAATATCTAGGAAAGGATCCTTCCTTGACTCTTCCTAGCTTTGAGCAGTTGCTGGCAATTCTTAACATCCCTTGGCTTGTAGACACATCACTCCAATCTGTTCCTCTGTTATCACATGATGTTTTCCCTATGTGTCCTTGTCTCTATGTCCAAAGTCTCCTCTTAGTATAAGGAGGCCAACCATATTGGATTTAGGTCAACCCTAATTAAGTCACATTTATAGGTTCCAGATGAACATAAATTTGGGGGTGGGGAGGTCAACATTCAGCAGTACCTATAGAAGGTGAGGTTCTGAATTGTCTTGTATTTATCAACTTAGACTATTTTAGTTAAACTAAAGAGAAAAATGGAATTGGGTGGTTACTCCTGGCAGCACTGGAGAAAATAAGGGAGGAAAAAAGGATAGGCTCAGGGCTTCAAATTCCCAGCTTGAGTGCTTGTATTAATGACCTGAAAGCTCTAATATATTCCCTGAAATAAACCATTGTCTCCTGCAACCACAGAGTGGAGATTTCTGATAATCAAACCAAGAGTCTCATTCTGAAATTGGCTGCTTTACAGTGCAAATTGAATTCCTGACCTTGCAGGGTGTCTTCTGATAAAGTGAGGACATTCACTGGGAATGAATGGAATCCTGAAAACTGGAATGGGGACACATGGTCAGATCTCAATAAAGCTGGGGATATCTAAGCCCTAGATCAGCCAAGTCTTTGCCATTAGAAGCTGTCCTTCCACCCCTGCCTAATGAGGTAGTCCTGTAATGGCATCCACTGAGGTAGCAAGACATTGTTGAGTCTCCTCAGACCCACCCCCACAGCACCCCTCTTTGTCTCTAAACCCATAAATAGTCTCAAGTTTCGGCAGGCCCCAAAAGGGAAAGTACAAAATGTGTGGAGATGCATTATGCTCCAAAAGAGCTACATGATTCTCCCAGTTTTTATAAACAGAAATCTAGATAATATGTATAGGAATGGATCTTAAGGATGTGGGATCATGGTAGAAGGAACATTAAGTTGGATCAAGCAGAATTTGTTGATATGGGCTGCCTGGTTGGTTAGCTGAAACATGAAGTCACAGGTGGAACACACTAAATCAGCTGAAATGCCAGAACTGCCTTGGTATGCTCTAGAAGAAGGTGTTCGAAAGCTTGATGAAATTATGATGTTAGAGTGGATTTATCATGTGGATTTGTTCACCCAACTTGGGAGGATCCAGAAGACACACCTTCTATCATAACTGTGCGAATACATTCAAGAGAATAGCCCAGCATGCTAGAAGAACTTGCTTTGCTCTATAGATCAATAATTTAAGTGGGAACTGTTATCAATGAACTGGAATACTTATATACAATGGAGATCAAAGGATCCTAGGGACACAGGGGCTACATGGAGACACTTAGTTGCTAAAGACAAGATGGGTGTGGTTATCATAAAGGACAATGGAGCCAAAGCAGTGGTCAGAATAGTCTAACTCACAGAGAATTGTGGTGTTGGCTCATTGATAATCCATAGAAAAGAAAAAGATGAACTGTTTGCTGAATTCTTACTTGATTTGTTTGAGCCAAAGGACTCTAATTAATTTTAAGAAATTCAATATTCAGTAGCAGTCATAATGGAAAATGCTACCACTGCTTCATGATAATTCGGATCCCAATATTTTTAGTAGAGTAAAAGTTGCCTGAAATTTAATCCATCCAAATGTATCTGGAATATAAGTCCAACATGAATAAGTTTGATGGTAGTAGAAAGATATCCTTGGGCATAAGAAGTAGCCCTATTGGGAAAGTCTTCAAAACCTTTTTCCCAGATTAGATTTCATGTCAAGACAGGCTACTTCAGTTTCTATTCTGGGACTCTGTTTCTCTCTGTTGTGTGCTAAGCGAACACCTGATATCCATCTTGAAATTCACAAATTCTCTCTTTGATAGTGTCTTATTTTGTTGCTTGGGTTTTTATTTCAACTCATTTTTTTTTTTTGTTCCCAGGATTTTGATAGCAACCCATTCTTATTTTGTTTTTACCTGTATTTTCACAATAAATCTTCATTTTTAAATGGAAGTCATTCTTTTATTTATTGTTTTAAGGATCCAAAAAATATTGTTTAAAAGACATTGTTAGTTCTATAAAGTCAGTTTCATCCAAAATTAATTCATGTTCCAAGTTTGCTGCCCTTTCCTAACATTTGATGTTTTCAAATGTGTTAGCTATTTAGTATCCTATAACAAATTACCCCAACACTTGTGGCTTAAAACACCACACATTTATTATCTCATAGTTTCTGGATCAGAAATCTGGGTACAGCTTAGCTGAGTCTTCTACTTCAAAGTCTTCCATAGGCTAAGTGTTGACTGGACTGTGGTCATCTCAAGGAGGCAGGGCATTGAATGGGGCACAATGCATTTCAAAGTCCACGTAATTGTTGGCGGGATTCAGTTCCTCGTGGCCACTCAGCAGAAGGCTTCAATTTCTTGCTAGCTGTTGACTGGAGACTGTGCTCAGTTCCTGGTCATGTGGGCCTCTCCAATATGTCAGCTTGCTTCATCAAAGTGTGCAAGCCAAGAAATCAAGGATTGGCTGAAAGAGGGAAGTCACAGATTTTTGTAACCTAATCAAGAATGTGGCGTCCTGTCACTTTTGTGGTATTCTCTTCATTAGTCCCTAAATCCAGCATGTACTCCAGGGACGATGATTGATTTCACAAGGGTATGAACACCAGGATGCAGGGATCACTGGGAACCATGTTAGAGCTTCCTACTACAAAGAGTTTTTGAAACTTTGCCAACTTCCTTTAAGTGAGAAGTGCTTTGTTTCTACTTTCACTTCTCTCACTCTCTCTTCTTACCTCAACCCTCACCTTGGCTTTTACCTGTCTAGAAGTTTTGCTGTTATATTCTCCTGCCCTACATCCAAGCCTCACCCCATAGTGTAATGGGATATCGTAGATTATTCTCAAGCCTCTGGATGATTTAAGTCAATTTGTGATCTTGGGACTATATCCATATGTCTCTGGTGGACACCAGTTTATAGGCCAGAAACCTAGGCAGCAAAGAGTCATAGGATTTTTTCAAGACAGAAGGGGACCCATCCTCACACTACATCTCAAGTGAGCCTAACTATATCATCCCCTCTCTGTGTGGAATATCTGATCTCTGTGCTCATATTCCTACTCTCCACATGTCTGTAGCCCACTTCCAGACCCAGATCCCAGCAAGGACATGGCTGCAGCCTTGCATTCTGCATTTCTGTTCTGTGTTTGGTCCACAGAGATACAGATCTTGTTTTTGAGCCCAGAGATGTGGTTAATTTATTTCATTTGAACATGTTATCCAGCAGAGCTTCCTCCCTTTTTGGACAAATGCATCAATGTGTGAAAATACTGAACCATTGTGATCCAAAATCTCCTTGGCCTACAGTCTCTACTGCTAATAAAATAGCAGAATCTCAACAGCTGAAAAAAAATCTGTAGAAAATAATTAGAGGAAAGAAAAGGACAAGGAAGGGGGAGGAGAGAAAAGAAAGGAACTGGAAAAGAAAGAGAAAGGAAGGAAAAAGAAAAGAGGTTATCTTCTTGTGGACAAAATTGAAGCAGTGGAAGAAAAGATGTCCCCCCTCAAAAAAGCATTGGAAACCCCCTTTCCCCAGGGGTTCTTTTCATGTATTACTTTTGCTGAAGGTAATTGAGAAGACAGAGGCACTGGAAGAATTTATGGCAACTGAATGCATTTTAAAAATTTAGAAAAGTTTCAGACGTCTGTTATCATCAAATGTTTACTACCTACTGAAACAATTGAAAGAAGAAAACTGCATACACCAAAAAAAACAGAAAGAGGAGAAGGAAAAGATTTAATATGTCCACAAAAGAGACCCCATGGAAAGCCCAAATGGTCTCAGACCCACTATTAAATTCTGTATTTGGGTCCTGATGGGAATGCCCACGTAGGGTTTAATGCCTGCTGAAGGGCCACATCCTTATATTAGTACATGAGGACTGTGTCTCTCAGGGGAGTTGGCACACCGAGCTGTAAGGGAGGGAGGAGGCTGGCAGGAAAGTGAAGTTTCACTGAGAGGAGAGGGTGGTCCCCAAGGACCTGGCTGGGGCTTTGAACCTGCTACAGCTGCAAGGGTTTTAAAAACTTGGTGCAAAGGTAAATTCTCAAGTTTCAGAACAAACCAGGATTCCATGCACTCAAACACAACAAAGACAAAAAGAACACTTTTTATGGACTTCTAGTGTTTATTTTATTAGGGAAATTTAGAGAGTATTATGTAATGACTAGGAAGGAGAAAAGGTAAGGTGGGGGAGGACTATGCATGATGACAGAAAAAAGTGGTCAAAGACAAACCTGCAAGGCACTGGATATTTCCATCAAACCAAGTATTCGGAATCATGATTTCATTAGTAATTTTCATAATTACTCTGGTGCTCCACTGCATCAGTATTTCTTCCATTAGATGATTTCTCTGAGTTCGGGGACTCTTCTGATGGAAGGACTTAAGGCACCAAAGACAGGAAGAGGGTATTTTCAGGACCATCAGGTGGCAGAAGAGCAACAGGAAGGCAGAAGTCTTACCAAGTGAATGGGTACTGGTGGCACCTAGGCACCAGCCACTTAGCAGCAGCATTGCTTCTTGCAACAGCACTTCTGCTGGCAACAGCACTTCTGCTGGCAACAGCCTTTCCCACCGCCACAGCCACATGAGCCACAGCCACACGAGCCACAGCCACAGGAACTGCAGCCACAGGAGCGGCGGCAGCAGCAGGTCACGGGGACAGTGCAGCAGCATCCGCAGCAGCCGGTGCAGCAGGGGCAGCAGTTGACCCGGTAGGATCTGCAGGTGGTACAGCTTCCACCACAGCCACCACCGCAGCCGCCACCACAGCCACCACAGCCGCCACCACAGCCACCGCAGCCGCCACCACAGCCACCGCAGCCACCACAGCCACAGCACCCCATCGTGTCAGGAGAGTAAGGACTCAGGAGAGGTGAGGATGGAGACTCAGGAGGTGAGGGAGGTCTGATGCCGCCTTCTGCTGGGGGAGCCCCTTATGTACCATCTTGAGGAGGAAGATGATGGAGTGAGTGACCCAGGACACATGACCCAGCACTTCCTCACTGCTGCCAAAGCAGTTTCCACAAGAAGCTCATCCAGGGCTATTCCTTGTTTACGTTCTTATGGGTGATATTTGACCCAGTACATTTTCTAATTTTAGCTTTTCTTCTTAAAGTCATTTTAGAGGCAAAGAGATGCTAACCTTCTGGAGTTGTCTTCATTTCCAGAGAAAAACAGATGAACCGTTGAGATTTTTTTTTTTTAATTTTTTTAAAGATTTTATTTGAGAAAATGAGAGAGAGCATGAGAGGGGGAAAGGTCAGAGGGAGAAGTAGACTCCCCATGGAGCTGGGAGCCCGATGCGGGACTTGATTCCAGGACTCTGGGATCATGACCTGAACTGAAGGCAGATACTTAACCAACTGAGCCACCCAGGCGCCCGAAGCTTTGAGATTTAGAACAAAGAAAGCGCTTATTATTGCTCGCTCCTTTTCTGCCTCTTCTCAATGGGTTTCTCTCCATATCATCAGCAGAAACCACCCCCCGCTCTAATAGAAACTTCAGAGAGGTAGAGTCCATATGAATAACCAAATTGAACAAGGCACTTCTTTCCAATGGTTTTCACATCTATCACTCTCATGAATCTTACACCTCGTTAAATGGGCCATATTAGTTCTTGTGACGTTACATGTTCACAGCTGTATTTCCAAAGAGATGTGGACTGTTTTTAAACTAAATGACCTTCTTTTCTTCCTCAACCTTGTAAGCTGTCTATTGAAAATCTTGACCTGATGTTCCTGTCTCTCCTGCTACACTCTCTCCCTTCGTACTCACATCCACACCCAGGGCTTTAGTTCCCATGTGCATTTCCCAGATTCCTTCCTCCAACTTCGAATCTCCTCCATGCTCCAGATCCACCTTCCATGTCCCAGGCCCCAGGCTCAAGGCATAATCTCCCCAACCCAATCACCAACCCCACCAAAAAAAGCTATATTCCTCCGCTGTGTCTTCTCCATCAAGCTGACAATCCATTAAAAAGCTCTGAATCCTTTGTTTCTCTTAGCCCCATATCTGGTCTTCCACTGAATTCTGTGACTGTGCCTCCTTAAAAGCTCTCAAACCTATTCCTCTATCTCTTACCCCACTGTCCCCCGCACCCTAGCCCATCTCAGCTGGGTGGTTGAAATGCATGCCTTGGTCCACAAACCTCAGAAATAGTTTGAGATCATGAATAACAATGCCAACATGCCTCTGGGACCTTACAACATTTCCTCTCACTCAGATTCCTGAAGAACAATCTCACCAGATTGGGAAAATAGGCTCTGGGCAGCAAGCCAGTTATAAATCATAGTTTGGGGAATCTGTTGGCCACCAACGATCTCCATGAAGGTCTGCAGAACTCCCTCAGAGGCCAGAGGGCTCCTCCAACAGCACACGTGATGAGGAGCCCACTGGTGCTCTTGTTTTTCTTGTCTATGTTTCTATCACCTCCTTGTTAGTCGCTAGCCCTCCAATCCCACCCAGGACCGCAGCTGCACACTCCACCATATTTCACACTCTTTTTCTCATTACACTGGGCCCCTCCTTGCATCTCTGGCCTCTGTACGTGCACCCCTCAAAGTTCCCACCCTTCTTTCTAAATCTCCAAGGTCAGACTCCTTAGTGAAGACATCAACTGATCTTATCTACTCAAAAACAAAAATTAAAAATTAATTCCTTGTCCATTTACATCATTAAAATGACTCTTAAGAGGATTTATTTCTGTTTTAAAATAGTCATTAGAACCTGGGTGTGAGAAAGAACACTGGTATGCTTCACATGAAGAGGAAAGGAGTCGAAGTTTCCAGCTCCAGAAATTTTCACTGGTCAATAAATGCAATGATGTTATCTGGCCTGTCACATCCCCAGCTCCCAGGATTACTTCCCATTACAAGCTCTTTGAGGTCAGGGACCAAGCCAGCCCCTGGGAGCTCACAGATCACCTGGCCCAGGGTGTGGTCTGCAAGCCCCACAGACACAGGTATCGTGGGAAGATGAGATACGGTCCATTCCTGTTGATAGGTTCACTACGCTCCGGGTTCCCAGAATGCCTCCTTAGAACTTTCTGTTTTTTTTTCAAAGTTAAACTTGAATAAAGGTTTTATTTAAACAATAAACTAAACATGTGATGAAGACAAAGATATCTAAAAGGGAAGCAAATAAGAGATGATGTGATTCTTCCCTGTAAATAGAGCCAAATAGCAACAAGGAAGTGGTCATGTGTCTTCCTGCTTTCCCCCCAGTGCTGGTATATAAGGGCTCCACCAGCAGAAGGTGGCATCAGACCTCTCTCACCTCCTGAGTTTTGCTCCTCTCTACTCCCTCCTGAGTCCTCTCTCCTGACACCATGGGGTGCTGTGGCTGTGGAAATTGTGGCGGCTGTGGTGGCTGCGGCGGCTGCGGTGGCGGCTGCGGTGGCGGCTGCGGTGGCGGCTGCGGTGGCGGCTGCGGCGGCTGCGGTGGCGGCGGCTGTGGCAGCTGCACCACCTGCAGGTGCTA